CTCCGGGGTGGCATCTTCTTAACACCCCATACTGCTTTTCTCGGCCTTCGGCCGAGGGCGTCTAGGCCTGTAGGCAGCCTGTCGCAATCAACATCAACAGCAAATCAGCCCTGGCAGACGCTGCGGGACTAGGGTGACCGTCGGGTCCAAGATTTCGTAGTCGATTTTTGTTGGCGGGCACCGTTCAACCCTTCAGGGCAGCACAGCGCTGTCAACTTTTGCGCTGTGGTTGCACGACGACGGTGGGCGCGCCGGCGAATCCCTCAGGCCGGCCTCTGTTGTGGGTCGTGGCCTTTGGAACGGGTAGGTGGACCTCCCCTGGCCTCTCTCGCAGCCCGCGGGGCCTTCGGGAGTTTTGTGCGGATTGTTAGATTTGAATTTCGCAGTTGCGGAGTGTGTTTCGAGTTCCCCTGGCCTCTGTGACGAGACGAACCGCGCAAACCAGTGTAAGTTTTGAGATCCGAGCCAGAGTCGCACTGAGCGAAAGCATACATTATAATTCCTATTCGCGCGATGACCGTGAGAACGCGCAGAAGGACGTTAGAAATGAGCGCGTTTGAAACCATATGCGCGCGCGTTGAAATTAAAGCAGAGTGGGGATGATCGAGTATTTGAGTTTCCAGATCAAATGTTTATGATGTTTGAGCGAAATGCCCCTGCATCGCAAACGCATTCTTCTGTTCTAAGGCAAGACGTTGTTTCGTTCACGCTCTGTCGATGAAAACCTTTCGCTTTGTGCATTGTCTTGAATTTGTCTTGTCAAAATAGACCGCGCGGTTCGTCTATCGAGTTTCGGCCGTATTCAAAATTTCGTAGGCGGAACGTTACCGGTTTAGCCGAGATGCCATTGTTATTTTCAAGGGGTGGTTGTCCTTGAAGATTGATTAATGTTCGCGTTGCTTTTCTTGCGTCGTCGGTTCCACAAATGTGTGCCGGGAGTGATAACAACAAGTGTGAGATCCAGGCGTTGCAATTCTTGACGCTTCGCGTCTCCCACCAGCCCAGCTGGGATGGCTGCAATTCGGCCGCCTGGCACACCTGGCAGCTCCTGCAGCCTGCCTTCAGCCCCTGGCGCCGCTCAGCGTCCCTCGGCGGCAGCTTTGGCAGCCGTGAGTGCGTTCGCTGGATAATTAGGTTCCGCCCGTAGCCCGGGACGACCCTTGACGCCGCCTGCGCCTTCGCTTGCGGCCGCGAAACAAAAATCCCACCAGCCCATCCAGGCCCGATCGGAGGTTTCCTTGAGACCTTGGAGGCTATCGTTAGCCATGCCTGGCTAGAGGCTGTCGGTGGCGATCCTGAGCCATGCTCAGCTATCTTGGACCATCTTGACGCTGTCTTGAGGCCTCTACTTGGCTCGGCGACCATGAAGAGTGCGGTTACACTGAGATCCGGCCGTCACAATTGTTTCACAACGGGCGTTTTCGCCTAGCTTCGGGCCCGGGATCCGTGGCGCGACTCCAATAGAAAGTGACTTAGGGGTTTTCTGGCCGCGCCGTCGTCGGTCCACTTTCGGCAAAGGGGACTAACGGGTCGGGCGGCCGCGCCGTCGTCGGAATTCCCTCCCAACCCTCTTCGCTGCAATATTCCCGCAGTTCCCGACGTGGCGGTCGTCAGTTTTTTGTGACCTTCTCTTAGTGGTGAGGGAGGCGCTTCCGTCTGCGACCCCCCCTTCATTTGTTCCTGGTGAGTCCACGTCGTCGGTTCTGACAGTTTTTGGGTTTGATAGTACTGATTCCCCCGTGATGGCCCTGGGACCACTCTGGGCCAATCTGGTTCGAAAAATGGCGTAGAAAGATTGGGTCCCACGCTTTCGTCGCGATTTTTCGCGATGTTGCATTTTTCTTGCAACGTCGGATCTCATGGTACGCCGGGGTATGGTTTGCGATCGGCGCCGTTGAGGCTTGGGGGCGCCACATTGCTCTTGTAGGACCTCCTCGGGGCGCAGCTGAGAGCTCTGTCGAGGTCCTCGCCCGCCCCCTCGGGTGCGGGTTGCAAACTGTACCTTTTTTCAAACCACACCCTTAGGAGTCGCCGACCAGTGCAGAGAGCGGACGGGCAAGCTGAAGCCATCCAGACACGGCACCGCTCGGCTTTCTCAGGGCCCAGATGGGCCCAGTCTGGGGTCCAAGGGGGGAGAACCTTCCCCCTGCAAGAGGTGCAAAGAGGTGCATCAACTGAGAAACCAGCCTGCCAGCAGGTTCCCCATGGACATCTTTTATCCCCCCTGTGGCTCTGGGAATCCACAGAAGTCCTGGGTCCGCTAGGGAATGTTGAGGATTGGCGACGAGCTGTGTCCCTTACAGACGGTGTTTGCAGGTAGGGAGTCCTATTTGTTTTCTGGAAATTGGGCCAAATTTTTGGTTTTCGACACACGCACACACACTTGTGCTACACTTTCTTCAACAGGCTTCGCTGGGTGCTGTATGTGCAGCTTGCTCGTAGCCTTTGTCGTCACTCTGCTGTCTCGTCGTGTCATCGTCCGAGATCTCATCAGCCTCATCGCTGCTCCCCTGCGCAATTCCTCCTCCTCATCACGTTGGCTACCTCTTGATATGTTTCTGAGCTGTCTGCTGCTGTCTCGAAGGGAGGGCTGCTGCATTGAGGACTGAGGCCGCCTGAGGGAGAACCTGTGCAGCTGGCTGCTGGCCCTGCACCTTGGGAGTTACTGCATCAACTGGCCTCGAGAATCACCCACAAGTGTCCAGAACGCTCCGTCGTGCTCGTGTCGCATGACGCACAATGTAGCGTGCTCTGCAGCTGTTCGGGATGTGATTGCGTCTGTTCACGCTTGCCACTGCTTTACCTGCTTGGCCAAGCTCTCGTGGTTTGTTTTTTATTAGTTCTGCATTCTGTATAGCCTTTGTGCTCGTGAGCTGCTCGATCTCCACCATCTTAGTCAGGTGAGAGCTGTGCGCTGCCATCTCCTAGCTCGGCTGGCTAATGGCTTCCTGGCGAAGCCCTGGCCTTGGCTACTCTGAGGCTGGGCTCACAGAACTTCCTCATGACCGGGTCCGCAGCATGTCCTGGCAAAGTTAGGTTCAAGTTGTGGAGGAGGAGGAGGAGGAGGAGGAGGAGGAGGAGGAGGAGGACGGAGAACGAGGGGCAAGGACCCCCCATGGAGGACGAAGAAACGGACCTCTTGGCTGGTGCCTCCTGGACGCCGAGGCAGCAGGTGGTGACGGGGCGCCCCGACGCACGCGTGTTTCTCTCGAAGTCTCGCGCCCCCGATCCGCCCACTCGGCCGCTCCCCCCCCCCCATCCCTGCCCCCGCGGCGGCCTCCAGCAGATCGGCGATGCCCCCGCCACTCGGGCCGCAGAGGCACCAGGAGGCCTCTGCGCACGAGGCGGCCCGGGCCTCGGGCCTGCCGCCCACGGGCGCGGGGAGCACTGCCGCCGAGCCTGCGACCCACACGGCCCCCCCCGCACGGCCCAACCAACCAGGGGGCGAGGTGCACCGAGCGCGCTCGTCTACGCGCAAAGTGCCTGCTCGCAAACGTCCGAAAAAGACATCTGCCTCCCGCCATGCAGTGGATCGTCGATCCCCCGCGGCGGATGCAGGCCATGTGCGAGCAGTCGCGTTGCGAGTAGAATGGAGCGCGCTTCTCTGGAGGTGCGGGCGGCCTCTCTCTCTCTCTTGCCTCTCCTGCTCCCCCTCGCACGGGGCCCAAAGGTAAACACCACCACCCACCACCACCGCCACCTCCCTCATCCTCCTCTCCCGGGAGAGAGGAGAGGAAGCCGAGGGCGGAGGAGGCAGGAGGCATCGACGTGGTGCTGGGGCCCGCACCTCGTGGCTCCCGGCGCGGGCCCCTGCGCTCCGCACGCCGTCCGGCCCTGGCGGGCGCCGGCGTCCCGCCTGCGGCCCGCGCGCGGCGAGGCCGCCGGCTGGTGCCGGCGGCCGGCCACCGGCCGAGCCCCCGAAGCAGACAGCTCAACAGAGAGCTGGGAGCCGCTGCAGCCTGGCCGAGGCACGAGTCGGAGGAGGGAGTGGACCCCATGCCTCTGCCCCCCCTCGCCTGCTTTCCCCTCGTCGGGGCCTCCTGGGAGGCTCTCGTCGCCACCGCTGGACTCGCCTCGAAATCCTGGTCAGAACGCACCCCAGGAGAGGTCCAGCGGGTAGCGGTATCGGTGCCTTTTGGTTTCCCCAATGAGATCGAGGTCGGTTCGGGGAGGGTACCCTATAGTGTTCTTCGTGCTTTTTGGATGTTCTTGTGCGTCCTGGGGAGGATACCCTTGGATGTTCTGCGTGCGTTGGCCGGCGGAGGTTCTCGTGTTCTTGAAGGGGTCCAGTGCGCGCCTGTTAGAGCGACAGCGCCACGCGTTCGAGTCGGAGCGCGCAGAGCGCGAGTCCCTTTCTTCAATGCCGGTGAGCGGCGATCAGAACGGGGGTTTCCGCGAGACGGCGTGGCGGCCTCACGCCGCGGCTTGCGCGGGCCGCCAGCGTGGCATGCTACCTTGGAGACGAGGGCGCTCACGCGCGACCTTGCGCGGGCAGTTTACGTGCCAAGGCGCGGACGGCCCCGTTCCCTGGAGCTCTGGACCCCATGTTACTGCGTCACTTTTCGAGGCGGATCGACCTGTGAGGGCCCTGGGGCCCGACACCGGGCGAACACGCCCGGTGTGGCGAAATTGCAGCGCCAGGGTTCCAGGCCTCCCGCATGGGGCCAGAGTAGATTAGGGGTCGGAGGATCGCGCCGCATCGCCGATACATCGCCGATGCATTGTCGATGCATCGGCGATGCTTGCGATGCATCGGCGACGTCGGCGTCAGGCTCCACATCGAGCCGCATCGTCAATGCATCGGCGATGCGGCGCGATCCTCCAGCCCCGGGTGCCAGGACCCCAAATCAGGGAGGCCCTTAAGCCTTAAGGGCCTCAGGGCGTCGTGCCTTCTCCGCGGCCCGAGGGGGCCTCGCGCGCCATCGGCCGTGCCCTCGGCTTCACCGCCTTTTGCCCGCGCGGCCGTGGAAACGCGCGCCGTGCCCCGGGCGCCCGGCCAGGGCGGCAAGATAGGCATCACCAACAACGCCGACTGGCGAGAGCCGAAGACCGCGCAGCCCAGCGACGTGGCGGCCGCGGAGCGCCCCCGCCGTTCTGCTTGCACTCCTCGAGGAGGGGATCGGCCAACAGTGGGGGCCCATGCCAAGGAACGCCCTGCTTGCCTCCAGGGTGCCCTGGGTTTCTTGGGTCTTGATGGTTCTGCGATTGAAAGCGTGTGGCGCTCCCGCACCAGAAATAAGAGGACGTCCTGGGGTCTCAGGGTTTGGTTTCTTGTGGAAGGTGTCTTGTGGTCGGGCCCCCACTGTACAAAATGGCTTTTTAACCCGAGACTGATTTGCGCGTTGAGCCTACGAGAGACATGCGTAGAATGTTCGCAGAGATACGCGTCATTCTACACATCCTCGTAGACTCGACGAACAGATCAAGTTTGGGATGAATCCATTGTGCAGTCGATCCCCAACTCGATCAAGGCAGCGGGCCCCGTGGGGACCGGGTCCATGGGTCCCCGGGGGCCCTCCACGGCGAAAAACTTTGGGACGCAGAGATCCGACAGAGACGGCGAAAACCTTGGGACGCAGAGATCCGATGTCGTGTTTTTTCAATACGGGGCCCCCGGAAGTCTCGACCGATTCCCCAGGACCAGTTTTTCATCCTGACTCGTTTTTGTAGACGGTCCCCGGGGCACGGCGAGGGCCCTTAGAGGCCGAAAATTGTGAAAAATCGCCGTCTGGATTTTTTCAATACGTTGGATCTCGGGGGACGCGTCTCCCTCGGGACCCGCTCGCTTCGCGGCGCGCCGTGTGCGCGGCGCCCTCCTCGCGCTGGCCACTTCCGCCAGGCTGCCGCCGTTATCGCTGCCGCCGTCCAGAGGCCCGCGCGGATTCCTCAGATCGGCGCGGGAGCCCCCTCGTGGCGATCTGAGAAATCTGCGCGGGCCCTCTGAACGTTTATGCGCATACCGTGTTTTGGTTTCAAGCCATACGGATCTCCATCGTCTCCCCCCCTCTTCCCTCCCAGGAAGGAGGGAAGCAATCAGATAATGGAGAGAGGAGGGAGGTGGACGGGTGGACCTGTATGCATCGCCGATGCATCGGTGCTGCGGCGCGATCCAAAGCCCGATCTTCTCCATCCCGACGCCGCCGACGCGTCGCCGATGTACCGGCGATGCAGTCCGACCTTCGGACCGCGACCCCACTTACGTAACCGTGGGAAGTAATTATCGAACTCCCCCCCCCCTTCTCGGTGAAACTATAGCGCTTCTCGCCCCTGGAAGTGTTGGACCCCCCAGTGTGGGATCCCACCAAGATCGGAATAGGATTCCAACAGGAGCCCAATCGGATTCTTATGAGAGCCCCACTTCTTGACGCTTCGCTGTCCACTATCGGCCTCCGGCTCGCTGTAGATGTTTTCACCCCCGGGGCGTGATATCCCGCGCTGCCGGGCGGCCCGCCGGGTCGGGGTGCCCCCCCCCCCCTCCGGCTTGACCTCCGCTCTCCCCGTCGGTCGGTGGTGTCGTCCCCCACCATACTGGCTGGCCTTCGCCTTGCCGCTCAAGTCGCGGTGTCTCTCCCCCTCCACGGGGCCCTCGGCCGTCCCTGACACCGCTCTGGCCTTCGTGCCCCCGCCACGCTGCGGTCGCTTCCCGGGTCTCCGGCCCGGGTCTTCCCCGTGGTGCCGCTGCCCGCCTGTCGCCACCTTCGGTATGCTGACTTCGGGCTCGCGTCCCTGTTCAGGGCCCGGGGTGAACGCCATCCTGGCGCCACTTCGCGCACTGGTCCGTGGTGACCCGCGCCATTTTGGCCGCGCGGCAACTTTGCTGCTTCTCGCACTCGTGCGCTCCGCTGCCTTGGAACTGTGCGGCTTCGGCCACCCTGGGTTCCCGCAGCCTGCCAACGCTCTCGCCCCTAGCCGGCATCAATTCGACCTTGACCGGCGGTCCTTCGGCTGCGGCCACCCTGGTATTGACGCAGTTCTCCGGGGTTCGCGCCCATGCATTAATCCCTCGGCTTCGACCCGGATCATCATTTGTCCCCAGTTCCTGGTGCTTCCGACGCCATGCAGACTTGCTCGCTGGCAGTACGACTCAGTTGCAGCTGCCCCTTGCCACTCGCCGGTCCGCCGCTGAGCTGCTGCGTGAGGCCCCTGTTAGCCGCTTTAGGTGTGGCCACCCTCCGCCGCTTTAGTCTAATTCGTCGCTGCGTGCCCCGCTTTGACTGGACTCGCCCCCGGCGCGCTCGCCCGCGGCCGCTGACTAAAAAGTATCCCCACCAGCGCATCCAGAAACGATGCCCAGGCGAGTTGCCTCTCAGAGTCTCCTCGGATGTCTTTTCCCCAATCAGAGCTTGCCTCTGTAGGGGTCCTAGTGGATTCATACGCTTAGGTGAGGTTTGCCACCGATTTCGGCTTCCCGCCCGGGTGCCCGTGTGCCTTAGAGCCTATAGCCCCATAGCCCTATAACCCTATAGCCCTATAGCCCTATGGCCCCATAGCCCCATAGCCTTATAGCCCTATAGCCATATCGCCCTAGAGCCCAATAGCTGTATAACCCTACAGCTCTATAGCTCTATAGCCCTATTGCCCTATAGCCCTATAGCCCTAGAACCCAAGCCCTATAGCCCCATAGCCCTATGGCCTATTGCCCTATAGCCCTGAAGCTCTATAGCCCTATAGCCCTACAGCCCTATAGCCCGATAGCCCTGCAGCCCCATAGCCCTATAGCCCTATTGCCATATAGCCCAACAGCCCTATCGCCCTACAGCCCCATAGCACTATAGCCCCACAGTCCTATAGCCCTATAGCCTTGCAGCTCTACATGCCCATAGCCCTGTAGCCCCATATCCCTATAGCCCTATAGCCCTATAGCTCCATGGTCCTACAGCCCTATTGCCCCATAACCCTATAGACTCATAGCCCTATGGCCCTGTAGCCCTATAGCCCCATAGCCCCCCCAGAGCCCCATAGCCCTATAGCCCTCTTGGGGCCCTATAGCCCTATGGCCCTATAGCCCTACAGCCCATAGCCCTGTTGACAGATAGCCCTATGGCCCTATAGCCCTATAGTTCCATATCCCTACAGCCCCATAGCCCTATCGCCCTATAGCCCAATAGCCCCATAACCCTATAGCCCTGAAAAGACTTTGATTGGAGTTTCTCTCCGGTATTATTGGAGGCCTCTTGGAGCGTCTTGGGGGCTTCTTGCCGGTCCCATGGGCCTCTTGGAACGTCTTGGGTACCTCTGGGAGCATCTTGGGGCCTCTTGGGGGTCTCTTTGGGGCCTCTTGGAGGCCTCTTGGGCGCCTCTTGAGGCCTCCTGGGGCCCTCTTGAGGCGCGAGCCTTGAAAGCGCTCTTGAGGCCATCTTGGAGGAGATCGATCAAAAAAGATGGGAGTTCCAATTGCGTTCCCCCCGCGGGACCCCAAAATCGCCTCTTGGGCCCCTCTCGCGGCGCTCTTGGAGCGCTCTTGGGCGCTCTTGGGGCCGTCTCAGGGCTCTCTTGGGCCTCTCTTGGGGCCCTCAGGGGCCCTCTTGGAGCTGTCTTGAGGCCTCGGAAGGCCATCGGAAGCGAAAAGGCGAGAAGGCAGTACTCACTGATTTCCATAAGGTTTTCGAACGATTTGGACCTCTTGGCGGCCTCCTGCGGAGGCTCCATGGCCACCCGAAGCCGTCTTGGAGCGATCTTGGGGCCTCTTGGAGCATCTTGGGAGCCATATTGAGCCATCTTGGGCTATGTTGAGCCATCTTGGAGGTCATACTGGGCTCTTTGGGCCATCTTGGACGCTCCAACGCCTCGCGAACCCCCCCCATCCAGGTCCAGGGGAGGGGGTAGGGAGAGGGGTCAAGACACCCTCCTAGACAGCAAGCCGTCTAGCTCACTCCCACCCGCCCTCCCGACACATAAGTAACACCCGAGCCTCCTGAGCATGTTCAGCGGTCGTCTTTGGATGGGCAGCTACTGGGAACTAAAACTGACCCATGTGCGCGACGCTGCGGCGAGGTGCGCCACGCGTGCCAGGCGCGCCACGCGCGCCAGGCACCCCTGCTGCCCAAGCGTGTCAGGCACGCCTGGTGCGCCAGATGCGCCACGTGCTCCACGTGCGCCAGGTGTGCAGCCGTATTGTAGCCGCGCCAGGCGCGCCACGTTCGGGGCACGTGCAGAGTATGTCAGGTGCACCTGCGAACTTGACAACACATATCGGGAAACATGTCGGCCCCCACCATCCTTGTCGAAAGCCAATGCCCATCATTGTGTGGTGGGCCTGCGAACAGCAGGCCATAACGCCCCCCCCCCGTCTTTGTCAAAAACCACTTGACAGTGATGGTGGGGTGGCCGCGCATGATCTAGATTTAGCCGCGAGTTGCATGATGTTTTTTTTGTTAGGGATGGTAGCCCTGCGCACAGCAGGCAATATGCTGACACCCCCGCCGTTCCTGACACAAATAATACAAAGTGCTCGCGGGCCTCACGAACTTGACTCAAGACTTTGCCCCAACATGTACTCTGATTGGCTTTCGACAGGATGGTGGGAAGGAGGGCGCGTCGGGCTGGCTGCGCATGCTCCCAATGTGGAGGCAGAGTGCGGTTTGGATTGTTTCCCCATATCCTAAGATGGGTTTTTTGTTATTACTTGGACGCCTCCTCCTCCTCCTCCTCCTTCTCCTTCGCCTCCCCTCTCCTCCTCATACCCAGACTTACTCATACACAGACTGACTCACACTCAGACTTACTCATACCCAGACTTACTCACACACAAAATTATTCATACTCAGACCTACTCCTACTCAGACTTACTCATGCTGAGACTCACGCACGCCCCGTTCGCGGCCGTTTTGTGGGGATGTCTCAAGCGGTTTGCTTGTTTTCTATCCCAACATCCTTCGCTTTCGGAGCAGATTTGGAGGATGTCTCGAGCGAGGCGCTCATTTTCACCCCCTTAGGAGGGATGTCTCAAGCGGTTTGCCTGTTTTCTGTCCCAACATCCTTGGCTACCAGAGCAGATTGTGAGGATGTCTCAGGCGGGGCGCTGGTTTCAGCACCCCTAAGGGGAGCCGCCAGGGGTTATGTCATGGTCCCGTTCGCG